AACTACAGGGAGGAAGTAGGAAGAGAGCTGTTACACTGTGGGGACTGAAGTCAATGTCATGAAACAAAATGTGTTTGAACTGCTGTAGGGAAAGGAATTTGCTCTGTAAACTTTCACCCACAGCACAATTAAAAAAAAAAAAAAAACAACTAAAAACCAACAGTAAGAGGGGAGGTAATCATGGAGGGAGGTGTTCACGCATGGAATATTCATTCAAAGAGCTCACTTCGCTGGGCACAGTCGCACCATTGGGGTCCCTCACAAATGAAATGTCTTTGCAGACTAGAAGCCGCACCATCAAACCTACCTTCCGCCCCAGTGAGTTATAAATGGTGACCTGGAAATGGAGTGGAAAGTTAGGGTGGGCGTAGGTCACTTCAAGCCTTCTCCAAACCCACCCACCCGCAAGGCAATATCCCTGTGCGATTCCAGTGCAGTCAAGGCCATCTAGGCCAAGTGACTTCGTGGTGCACACGTCAGGTTCTGTCCCATCTTGACTGTGCCTCGCATGATATTACACCTCTGTGCTCCTCCAAGTACAATTCCATTCCATAACCTCCTTCTAAAGAGCCCCAGGCCTGAGCCTGCCCTCGTCTTTACCCTGCCCTGGCCAGTGATCAACCTGTTTAGTCTGTTCCATCAGCGATCTGCACCTGCAGTCTGCCCTTCGCCCTGCCCACAATCAGCCCCTCCACCCTCTCCGGCCCCACACCTCCAGCCTCTGGGTAGGGATCACATGCATGGCGATCTGGCTGAGGGGGCAGATGATGTTGAGTTCGCCGCAGAACGTGAAATTCTCCTTGGAGCCGCTAAGCTGTGCTAGAGCATTGCTCAAAAGCACTTTGGGAGAAGAATAAAGGGGGGGGTCTGGTCTGGAGGCACACCGCTCCTCAGACCCTCCCTCATCATTCCAGTGACACACCCATTCCCATCTCGGCCCTACCCTTCCCAGGTTGCACACCTCCCAGGAGCTGGTCACAGTCTATCTTCGCCCTCCTCTCCCAGACCCTTTTCCCTTCTGGCCCCCACACACACCTCACAGGGTCCCCAACCCTCCGCGAGTTGGCGTCCTTAGTCGTCTGCCACGTGCTGCCGGGAGGTGCCGCTGACCGCGTTGTGGTGCTGGAGCACAGCCATCGCCTCCCCTAAGGGGAGGGGGGCAGTGAGCTGGGCGGCGCCTCTGCGGGATCCCGACCCGATCCCAGGAAGGCAGGGATGGTCCAGTGCAGGTGGGAAGAGTTTGGAGCCCCAGTCCCTCTCCTCGCTGGCCCAAAACCTACTGAGGGGCGCACTGTCTCCGGAACCATAAGGTCCCGCGTTGGTCACAGGTCCTGCCAGTGCCTCCAGCTGATTGCACAGCTGGTGGGCAGGGATAGGTTGCCATAGGCAAGCCTGCCTGGGACCCCTGGGCCATCCCTTGGAGCCAGTCACCCTCCTACCTGAAGGAAGTTGTAGCTGAAGCGCTCGTAGCATTTAAAGGCTCGCCGGCTGGTGAAGTAGCCAGTCCAGAACTGTTGGGGGCCATCGGCATAGGGGAAGAAGTCATCCTGTTTCACTGACCTGTCGGGGCAGGGTACTGAGGGCAGGGTCCTGGCCCACAGCACATCCTAATTCCCCCAAACACCCAGAACCCCAAATACCAGGTCAGACTGGCTCCCAGAGGTAACAGGCTGGAGTGGAGTAGAGAACGAGGACTCGGCTCATGTTGACCTGCTGTTGTCGGGTAGGGGAGGGGGGAGGCTTCCTGGAGTCTGTCTTCCCAGAGGGCACACAGGTGTGTGAAGGCATACTTAACACGTGTGGCACACTCACACATCAGTTGCTCTTAATACACTTTTTTTCCAATTGTGATTTGGGTGAGTTTACAGAGCAAATTCATTTCCCATACAGCAGTTCATTTTGTTTCATGACATTGATTGCAATCCCCATAATGTAACAGCTCTCTTCCCACTTCCTGTGGTTACCTTTTCCCTGTGTCCTTCTTCTTAATACAAATTTTAAGTGCACATCAATAGCCAAGCATGAAAATGAGTATGTGGCCAAAGCCAAATATTACCCTTCTTGAAAGAATATTAGGGATGCAAGAATATACTAGAAATTGTACTAAACTTTGAAAAAATAATTTCTATTGTATTACTGGAAAAATTATGACATTATAAATAAAAATGAAGGCCGCTGCCATGGAGTCAATTCCAACTCATGATGACTTGATGTGTCAAAGAGTAGAACTGGAGCTCTGATGGCATGGTCCCTAAGGCATCTGACTGCTAACCAGAAGGTTGCCAGTTCAAATCCAATAGCCACTCCACGGAAGGAAGACTGGGCAATCTACTTCTGGAAAGATTTACCACCTTGGAAACCCAAAACAGGCCGCTATGAGTCAGAGTCAAATCGATGGAAGTGAGTTTGGTTTTTGTGTTTTTGTTCCATCCCACCCTCCGTGACCCTGATACTAGAAGAACTAGATGGTACCCAGCTGCCATTCTGGACTGCTATGAAAGGGATCGCAATAGGAGGTCCCAGATAAGAGTGGAAGAAAAATGTGGGAAAAATCCGTCTTAAAAAAAGACCAGGCTAACTGGTCTGATGAAGACTGGTGGGACCCCCAAGACTATGGCCTCTAGACACCCTTCAGCCCAAGAACGGAACTAAACCCCTGTGGCTCAACATTCAGCCAAGTGACAGGCCTACAAAATGAACAATGATACCAGGAAGATACGCACTCATTCCAGAACAATCAACCACAGGAGATCAAAAGGGCAGCATTTGCCTGGTGTAAAGGTCAGAAGGCAGGAAGGCATAGGAAATAAGAACAGGATGAAGGGAAATGGTAAACACAGGGAAAAAATGGCAAGAGTACTGTTAGAATGTGGGGACTGCAAGGAACCTCACAAAACAAAGTGTGTATGAATTGTTGAATGGAAAACCAACTTGCTCTGTAAGCTTTCACCTGAAGCACAATAAGAAAATAAAGAGTAGAACTATTCCATGGGGTATTCCTGGACATTATACAGCAGGAATAATCATTTCTCAGGAATAATTATTTCTACAAATGTCACAATTTGGTCATGAATGGAGGCTCACTTTCAACAGAGGAAGGTGCGGGAATAAGTTTTTTAGCAACCTTCAGCTGGTACTGTATCCCTAGTGTCCAACACACAGTAGGTGCTCAATATTTGAGTAAAACAAGGGAGGCACATGAGAGTACACGCCTTCACATGGGCACCCACACATCTACATACTGTACACACAGTCATATAGTTAATCTACATACCCAGCCACATACACTGTGTTTACTCAATTCACAATCACTCAGTTCAGTATGCCAGGACTGTGCACAAAATCTACACTGAGAGAGTCCCGCCTCTAGCCTCATGGAATTCAGTCAGGATGGGAAGAGAGACATTATTGAACAAATAGTCCCTTGGTAACATTGGCCTGAGTGTAGCATCATGGGTATTAATGGAGCCTGGGTTTGGTGAAGGCTTGCTGAAGGAGAAGACATTACACCTGATATCTTAAAGGAGGAGCAGAGTTTTTCAGCCAAAAGCAGACATCTGGAAATTTACTATTTGACATTGTATCAATAAAATGCAACTTACCACTTTTGACTAGAATAGTATCTCCAATGACTTTTTTTCCCCACTTTTAAAATTTTTATTTCTCATACCTTACAACTTTTTATTTTCAAATAGTTTACAACTCACGAGAAATTTCAAAAAGACTACAGAAAGTTTCCATGTTCCCTTTTCCATCTTCTGCAAATGATATTATGTCACATCACTATAATGCAATGATCAAAACCGGGGAACAGATACTGTACCACATTCTTTTTTTTTTAATGCATTTTATTGAAATATAATTTCTGTACAGTGAAATACACAAAACTAAAGTGACATAGGTCAATGGAGTTTTTTTGCTGTGTTCCCTCTCCTACCCTCCCAACCCTGACAACCAACAAAGAAAGTTTCCCTCCATATATAAACCTTTCCTTGACCCTCCACAACAATGAACTAATACTATATTTGTCCTTCTATGATTGACTTATGTCACTCAGCATAATATCCTCCAAGTTCATCCATATTATGCAGTGTTTTGCAGACTCTACATTATTCTTTAGTGCTACACAGAATTCCAGTATATACCATAGTTTGGTCATCCACTCATCCACTAATGGCACCTAGGTTGTTTCCATCTTTTTGCTACTGTAAATAGTGCTGTGATGAACATGAGCATGCATGTATCTCCTATCCCGGCTCTCACTTCTCTAGGATATATACCTACTAATGGGATTGCTGGGACAAATGCTATCTGCAATTCCAACTTTCTAAGGAATCGCCATATTGCTTTCCACAGTGGTTGTGTCACTTCACAGTCACACAAGCAGTGTATGACTGTATATGACAGTCCCAATCTCTACACATCTTCACCATCCAATGAGTTCTTAAACTGAAGTGAGGAACAGGAACAACTTAAAGCTCTTTCACATCCCTTACATTTACAAGGCTTGTCCACTGTGAGTTCTTTTATGTCTACTGAGGTGTGATGATTGACTAAAGGCTTTCCCACATTGCTTACATTCATAGGGGCTAACTCCACTGTGAGTTCTTACATGAGTAGTGAGAGTTGAGGCCTGACTAAATGCTTTCCCTCACTCCTTACATTCATAGGGCCTCTCTACAGTGTGACTTATTATATGTGTAGTTATAGCTGAGACGTGAATAAAAACCTTCCCACATTCCTTGCATTCATAAGGCCTCTCCCCACTATGAGTTCTCATGTGTGAAGTTAGGTATGAGGAACACTTAAAGGTTTTCCTACATACCTTACATTTATAAGGCTTCTCTCTCCACTGTGAATTCTTGTATGTTGAATGAGAAATGAGGGAGGTCTGAATAAAGGCTTTCCCACATTCCTTACACTGATAAGGTCTCTCTTCACTGTGAGATCTTATACGTATGTTGAAGGCAGAGGCCTGACTACAGGCTTTCCCACACTCCTCACATTCCTAAGGCCTCTCTCTACTGTGAGTTCTTTTATGTAAAGTAAGGCTTGAGGTATATCTAAAGGCCTTTCCACATTCCTTACATTCATAAGGCGTAACTCCACTGTGACTTCTTATGTGTACAGTGAGATATGATGACTGACTAAAGGCTTTCCCACATTCCTTGCATTCATAAGGCCTAACTCCACTGTGAGTTCTTACATGTCTATTGAGGCATGAGGCCCAACTAAAGGCTTTCCCACATTCCTTACATTCATAAGGCTTCTCTCCACTGTGAGTTCTTCTATGTGAAGTGAGGTGTGAGGAACTCTTAAAGGCTTTCCCACATTCCTTACATTCATAAGGCTTCTCTCCACTGTGAGTTCTTATATGTTCAATGAGGTGTGAAGAAAATAAAAAGCCTTTTCCACATTCTTTACATTCAAAACGCTTCTCTCCACGGTGAGATCTTATATGTATAGTGAGATACGAGGAAGACATAAACGCTTTCCCACATTCCTTACATTCATAAGGCCTCTCTCCACTGTGTGTTCGTATGTGTACAGTGAGATGTGATGACCGACTAAAGGCTTTCCCACATTCCTTGCATTCATAGGGCCTCCCTCCACTGTGAGTTCTAACATGTTCAGTGAGGGATGAGGCCCAACTAAAGGCTTTTCCACATTCCTGGCATTCATAAGGCCTCTCTCCACTGTGAGTTCTAACATGTGTATTGAGGGATGAGGCCTGAGTAAAGGCTTTCCCACATTCCTTACATTCATAAGGCTTCTCTCCACGGTGAGATCTTATATGTCTACTGAGGTGTGAGGAACAAATAAAGGCTTTCCCACATTCCTTACATTCATAAGGCTTCTCTCCATGGTGAGATCTTATATGTCTACTGAGGTATGAGGAACAAATAAAGGCTTTCCCACATTCCTTACACTCATAAGGCCGCTCTCCACTGTGAGTTCTTAAATGTGTATTGAGGGATGACGCCCGAATAAAGGCTTTCCCACATTCCTTACATTCATAAGGCTTCTGTCCACTGTGAGTTCTTGTATGTTCAATGAGTTCTGAAGAATATAAAAAGGCTTTTCCACATTCTTTACATTCAAAAGGCTTCTCTCCACGTTGAGATTTTATATGCTTAATGAGGCTTGAGAAATAACTAAAGGCTTTCCCACATTCCTTACACACATAAGGCCTCTGTCCACTGTGAGTTCTTACATGTGTATTGAGGGATAAGGCCTGACTAAAGGCTTTCCCACATTCCTTACACTCATAAGGCCTCTCTCCACTGTGAGTTCTTATATGTTTTGTGAGTGATGAGGCATCACTAAAGGCTTTCCCACATTCCTTACATTCATAAGGTCTCTCTCCACTGTGAGATCTTATAGGTATAGTGAGATACGAGGAAGACGTAAACGCTTTCCCACATTCCTTACATTCATAAGGTCTCTCTCCACTGTGAATTCTTAGATGTACCCTGAGCTGTGAGGTCTGACGAAAGGCTTTCCCACATTCTTTACATTCATAAGGCCTCTCTCCACTGTGAGGTCTTGTATGTTTAGTG